CAATTCCAAAAATTTTGAAATTCCTTAAAATATGCCATTTTTTTAATTACTGCCAAGATTAATCGTAACCAAAGACAAAACTACCCTTCCTTGTTATTTAAATCAGAAGAATTGTTTTTTGAAAAGTTTTTGCCACTTCATGCGTAATTTCTCGAGGCTTTAATTACTGGTCAAAAGTGCGCCACAATTGTCACTAATTTTTGGCCAAATTTCGAGAGCTTTTCAATTATTTTTTTCAAATTTGTGGCTATTATAAATAAAGTTTTAATCTAAAAACAGTTCACATATGATTTCTGGTCTGTAAAGAATGTTTTTGCGGTTTTTTGAAAATGGAAATTGAGTGGAAGATTTTCAGTGCAAAATACATTACAAATCTTCCACCAAACTTCCACTTTTAAAAAGTGTTAAAAATGTGTTTTTAGGCCATTTTAAAATTTTTTAAAGAATTTGGCCAAAAGCAAAATTTGAGCTTAGGAACCCTTAAAATTGTAAAAAAAAACCTTCTACCCTACCCTACCCTACCCTACCATACCCTAACCTACCCTACCCTACACTACCCTACCCTACCCTACCCTACCCTACCCTACTTTACCTTATACCTTGCTCATCCACGTGTTTTTTCCGACCTTGCCGTGCTTTATAACCTACCGTACCCGCTTAAACATGCCTTGTCCTGTTTTACCCTAGCCATATTGTGCCCCACCTAGCCTAATCCATGACTTACTTCCTTTTCTATCCCTGCCATGCCCTAATCCTATACTAAGATACCTGGCCCTGCCCTGCTTTACCAACATACCCTGCCCTCTCCTCCTCTTGTTTTGCCCTACCCATCGTCATGGTAAAAGTAAAAATGGAGGTTTTACTACGGTAAAACCGTGCCAACTCAGTTATTTATCAATTAACATTTGCAACAGAAAAAAACGTAAAGTTTTGTGGGATTTTCCGAATAAAAACGCCCGGTTATGAGGGGCTTAATTAAATTTTTAACTCGAATTTCGCGCTTTCTCAAGTTCTCTCAAACGTTTTTTAATCGAATTAGGGATTAAAATTCGAAAAATTTAATTTTAAAATTTCGCTTTTTTGAAAATTGTTTTGAAAAACAAAAAAAATTGTAAAACTAGACAATTGTTATAGCCAAAAATGGCTAAAGTCCTACTATTAGATACCATAGAAAAAGTAAGGTTTTAAAAAATATAAGTTGAGTGGAAGATTTGTAATGTAATTTGCACTGAAAATCTTCCACTCAACTTCCATTTTCAAAATGTCTTGAAATAGACTAAAAATGCATTTTTAACACTTTTTAGAGGTGGAATTTGAGTGGAAGATTTGTAATGTAATTTGCACAGAAAATTTTTCACTCAACTTCCACTTTTAAAAAGTAGGCTTAGCTTTCTTTATAGCGTTTGAAATGACAAAACACCTTCTAAAATGTCACAAAAATGGCAAGAACTTTCTTTACAAGTAAAAAATGGCAATAACTTGCTTTACAAGGTAAAAAACGACAAGAACTTTCTTTACAAAACAAAAAGTTCAAAAATGTTTGCCACCCCCTTCCTATCATCACCCTACTGCTTAATTAATGCCCTCTCCTTTTACCCTGTTTGACTTTTCTCTCCTGTTTTTCGCAAGACTTACTGTATCATACTCCACCCTTCTCTACTCTATCTTGTACTACCCTACTCTTCCCACCCTCCCCTCTCTCCCCTCTTTCACCCCTTCTCCCATTCTAACCCTACCATTTTTCATCTTTTACCTACCCCCCAATACTCCACCTCACCCCCTCCCGCATGGAAAGCAATTTCCTGGCTTTGGATGTAATTTATGCGCAAGTTACATATAAACCTTTTCTTTTTTCGGCCCAAATTGGCTCTTTTAAAATCTCGGCGCAGCGAATTTTTGATGTCTTATTAACATCTCAAGTTTCCGTACAACAAATCTTAAATTTCGTGGAATTTTTGAATAAATTTGCCTTTTTTGTTTGCACAGTAGGCGGGTTACGGTAACGTCCGAGGAACTGCGGAATTGTTTACTTTTGAAGATTGTAAACAAAGTTTTTGCACGTGAAATCAAGATTTTGCTTTATGGAAACAAAGTTTTTGTCATTTTATGTTTTGTAAAGAAAGTTCTTGCAATTCTTTGTTTTGTAAAGAAAGTCCTTGCCATTTTTTGTTTTTTAAAGAAAGTTTTTGCCATTTTTTGTTTGGTAAAGAAAGTTCTTGCTATTTTTACCTTTTATCAACCAAAAAATGAAAAAAAAACTGTCGATACTATATAGTACGACTAGTACTAAATAATAGTAAAAGAAGTTTAAATATGAAATAACGTAACATACAGTGATTTATATTGGTGGTAGGTCGATAAGTAAGAAGTTGGACTTATATAGTACTACTAGTGGTATATAGTACGTAATGTTAAGCTTCAGGTTATTAAAAACGTGTAAAATACGGTAGTTTCGTCAAAAACCAAAACAAATTGTGCTATGTAGTACCACTACTACTTATTAGTATTTATAAGGAATGTTAATTAAGCAAAAATTTTCTTTACAAAAAAAAGTAGCAAGAACTTTCTTTACGTAACAAAAAATGGCAAAAACTTTGTTTACAAAACAAAAAATAGCAAGAACTTTCCTTACAAAACAAAAAATGGCAAAAACTTTCTTTACAAAACAAAAAATGGCAAGAACTTTCTTTCAATTCATGAAAAAAAATGAAATTAGATGCCGTAACCCAAACGTGGCAACAATAACAATTTTTTTGGGCGTCGAATTCGTCGGAATGATTAAAAATGCATAATTCTCAACTCTTCTTCATTTCATTGCCTCTGAATTTCGGAAGACATCAAAATTATTCAAATATTCATTTTTCAATTTCTTGGCACTCAATTTTCAAGCCACGATACTAAATTTGAACAAAATTTCGGCGGCCAAAACGTAAAATTAAAAATTTTTTAAAATGAAAAACCGCTAACTCAAAAGTTGAAAAAGATGACAAAATATATAATAAACAACATAATGTAAACAGATTTACTCAAGTAACTTCATTCCGTACTTCATTTCATATGCGGACACCTTCCATCGTATAACTTCACAGGCGCAACCCGCGCTTCTTCCGATCAGTGGCTTCGCTCAGGACTTATCCTTCTTCCTCCACTCAAGTTGTTCTGATCGCCTTTTCCTTCATTTTTTTTGGAAATTCAAATTAAGTTTTGATAAATTTAGTTAACATAAGCAATATAAGCTATACTCTAACTAAATTTGGCATATAAAAAGGGTTAATTGAACTTTTTTCCTCAAGGTTGACTATTTTTAGAGACTTGGTCAGATAAAATAAGGTTTATAATGTTATATTGCGCGAAATAGACACTATAAACAAATATATTATGTTTATTATGATGTTGTTTTATGTTTTTATTGCTTTGTAATAGCAAAGTTGATTGATAAAGTAAGGTTTGTAAAGTTATGGCTGGAAGATCACCTTCACCATGGCAAATTCTTGGTAAACTGGCGGAAAATGGGCAGAACAAGGCGGATAACGTGTCGAATATGATGAAATACGATTGATCAGTAACAGAACGAGTTGTTTTAGCTGTAAGTTGACTTTTTTTTTTGTTTTTTTTTTTTTTTTAGGTTGATTTTCAAGAAGAACATCTTCACCATTCCCCGTTTTTCAACAAACAGGCGGAAAGTGACCTGAACAGATCGAATGCCGTGTCGAATACAAAGTAATTTGAACAAGAACAAGATAATCTGCATGTAAGTTTAGTTTTTGCATTAGTTTTTTCTTTTTTAGGTAAATTTGGAGGATTTTTTTATCTAAGCTCGACGTTATAATCATGGATAACATACTTTTTGGCTTGGTCTATGGTTTTTATTTAAAATACGTCTATGACCGTTTAAAATTAACTCCAAAAGACTATGGATGACGTATTCTAACTCAAGACTGGAAGAGGTTTGCCAAGTTCGGAATTAACTTTGGAAACGAAATAGGTATAGACGGCTTTAATGGTTGCCAGATGAATAATATTGAAGTTATAAGTTTACGTTATTGTTGTTATTATAGATAATATAGTGCTGAAGCTAAAGATGATAAATTTAAGCAGTAAAAGTTAAAATCTTGAGTTTTTGATTGATATTATCTACGGTGCTTCTATGTCATGGGTAATATATATATATTTTTGGAATTTAATTTGTGTTGTCGAATCCAAGTTTGATTTTTGTTATTTTTATGATATTTAGGGTTTTTTGAAGTAAAATACGTATTTTTGGGTAGCTGTGACATAAAAATGTTAAGGTAGACCTGCTGTTCATGGATACTATGTTAGGGCTTTGGGGGTCTGGAACGATATTGATGGTACAGTACTCTCTCTATATAAGCACTGTAAGGGGTGTTGTCTTTAAAGAAAGGCTTTTTAGTGCTAATTGACTTGGCGGGGCCAAATTTCTTGTTTACTATAAGGAGAGTTGCTTATACAGATGGTTCATTATATAGAGAGACCACCGTATTTGATTTAATAACTGATTTCGATCAGTATTTGTCTTCCTTCATTTAGAGTAGAGGTAGAGTAGGGTAGATTTTTATTGGTTTGATAAATTTTGGTCTTTCTCGTTTGGTTTTTCTTCTTTTTTGGTTCATATTTATCCTTTTACTTTTAAATTGTTTTCTGTTTGACGTAAATTCTGTTCTGAATCACAATCAAAATACTTTTATTACTTAAATTAGTGGGATCAAAAGCAACAAGTCACTAGATTTATTCGACCTTTTTTCATAATTTAAAACTTTTAAATAGATAATAAGAAAGAGGGGTGAGATACTCTTGATGGACTATATGAAAGTATCATTTACTCTCGATAATCTACCAAACAGACTAATATCTTATTGGCTTTACCAGAGCAAATAGTACTTTCATTGTCGTCCACTAGAGCAAATAGTACACTCTTGATGGTCTACAAGAGAAAAAAAGAGATTTTTACACATTCAAGTCGAGATTTTTGCTTTCATAATTTAGCCGAATCGGACAAAGGTTTGAGCACGTTTACCGAAGCGCACAAACGTCTGGGCGCGTTTGCCGAATCGTACAAAGGTCTGGGCTCGCTTCTGGGGCGTCATTTCTTGTTCAACGGCCGACGCTTCGACTGGTTCTTGGCCTGAAAATGTTGAAATTAGTTTGAAAACGTTGTTTTTTGGGGCTTTAAAGAAAGTTTTTGCTAATTTTTAGATGTCGGAAGCGGTCTGAAGTCCTATGCATTACTGTAGAAAAAAATTTGTGGATTTTTTAAAAGTGGAAGTTGGGTGGAAGATTTTCAGTGAAAAATACATTGAAAATCTTCCACGTAATTTCCGCTTTTTAAAAAGTGTCAAAAATGTGTTCTTAGGCCATTTTAAGACATTTTTTAAAAATGGTAGTTGAGTGGAAGGTTTTCTGTGCAAAATACATTGCACGTCTTCCACTTTACATCCATTTTTTACCATGCACCGTGCAAGGCATTATAACTCAATGTTGGCTTTTAATTGAATTTTCAAACAGTACGTTTTTAAAACTGTTCTCTAAAAGTTCAAAAAGCTTTGTAAATTTGTTTTTTATAATAATGGTTTCAAATTTAATTGCCGGAAAGTGTCAAAAATAGTTTCGAAAACGAAATATAGTGTTTACGTAAAGAGTTTTTATTAACAATACTGTGTTTTTCGCAGCTGGAGGGCTTGTAATTTTCAAAAGTGTTTTATAATTAGCGTTCTGAAAGTTTTTTGAAATTTTAAACTTCGTTTTTTGCCCTAATTTTGGCGTAGTGTTTAAGATAACCTAGAACGAGGTGTGCAGACCTCAAGTGTCAAATACATAGCCTAAGTCAATTCATATAGAGTTTAAATGGCAAAGGTATAGCCTAAGGACGTGTGTAGATTTTAAATGACAACGATAATGTAAAATACGCGGCCACTTTGTTCCTCTTTTTAAATTATCGTACTACTCACCTGGACGGTACTGACTTTGCAATTCCAACAATTCTTGAACAACTTGGGGCTCCAAAAGTAGATTGGCGACTTCTGAAAGCAAATAATTGAGTTTTCACGCTTAAAATTTGTATTTTCGAGCATGTAGTACTAAAAAAATGTTTGGTGCTATATAGTACGAGTAGTGCAAAACAGTACGAAGTTCGAATTTTATCTTCTAAGTTTTAAAAAAATGTAAAATACGACAAGACCGGCGTTATGAGGCTCTTATTTTGTTAGTACCACAAGTAATATATAGTACGCTGTGCTAAAATACAGCCTAAACATTTTTTAAGCTTTTCCACAGTATCCCATGAATCTATTTTTAATAAAACAATTCTGGTGTTGAAATCAATTCGGCGGAAGCAAAGTTTCTACGTCTGTCAATAAAAAACACTTTCAATGCTTTTCCAGTTCACATGTTTCAAGTATTCAACTACATGTCATTACACCTGAACTCATAAACAGTTGGAAATAGGTTTTTTTATAAACTAGGTTGAAAAAAATGCATTTGAAATGGCATAAAATACTCGGTACACATGTGAAAACCTAGAATTTTGCAATTTTATGTACAGTAGAACTATTAGGTGCAGACATAAAGAACCCGCCATACTTTTCCTGTAATTTGTTGTGAAAAGTGGCGTGTTCTTTATGTCAGTACCTATTAGATAACGAATAGTTCGGGGATTTTATAGTTGTTCGTCATAGAACCGTTTCGTTATACAGAAGTTTTAAATTTACTGTGTAGTGTTGACATCGGATTTAAAAGTTGTTCATTATACAGAAACTTCGTTATAAATGATTTTTTTATACAGGAGTTTTATTGTATTTTTGATTTGATACAGTGGAACTCTTGTATAACGAACTCCTCTACAACGCAATTTCTGTGTAACGACCAACTTTTAAATCCCCGGCCAACACTACACCGTGCGTTTAAAACTCTTGTATAACGAAACTCCTCTATAACGAACAGTTTTAAAATCTCCGAGTGATTTGTTATGCAGGAGTTTTATTGTATGAAAAATTGCAAAATTTTAAGTTTTCACGGCTTTTCCATGTATTTTATGCCATTTCGAATGCAGTTTTTCAACCTAGTTTATAGAAAAACCCATTTCAAACTGTTTATGAGGTTAGGTGTAATAACATGTATTTGAATACTTGATTCGTTATACAGGAGTTCCACTGTACAGGGGAACTCCTGTATAACGAATCGCTTGGGGGTTTAAAAGTTGTTTGTTGTAAAAGAGTTTTGTTATAGAGGAGCTCGTTATACAGCAGTTCAACTGTATTTAACACAGTACTTTTTAATTTTTCCAAGTACTGAATAGCACTTAAGATGCACTGAAATTCAAACTTTTTTCTTGAAAATTCTGGGAAGCCTTTAAAATGCCCTAAGGCGAATTCAATTCGAAATGCATTAAAAAGCCGACAATAGCCTTTGGAATAGCGGTATAAATGCGAAATAAGGTGATTAGCCCTAGAAAAACCGGTTTAATTTAGCTGCGAAATTAAACTTTTTTCCAATTTCAAACAGAATGTCATCACAAAAACAAAATGTCATCCAAAAATTGGCCGGAAAATCGTTGAAATTGGGAGATTTGGCCAATTCGCTTCGAATTTCATATTGTTGTTTTTGGGTTTTAATGCAAAAAATAAAAGTTTTGATGTGGTTTTAGTGCCAGACGGCTGGCTGATGTTGTATTAGGTTTTGTATCATAAGGAAGACATAAAATTTGTAATGAAGATTGAAAAACAAGACATTAAAATTAAAAACATATTTAAGAGGTGTAATAAAAAACATTGGCTCGAAAACATCTTGGTGCTATATAGCACCGCTTGTATTATACAGTATGATATAGTACACGTGCATTTAAGTGTTGGGGCGTTAATGTAATACAAAATTAGGCTTAAAGACATCTTGATGCTATATAGCACTACTTGCATAATCAGTGTAATATATTACAAGTAATATACATAATAATATAGTAAAAATACTGTACATTATAATATAGTACAAGTGAATTTAAGTGTCGAAGCATTAATTTAATACAAGGTTTAATATTCAGAATTGCTTTAAATCATTTTTTAGCGCTATAATACTGATTTTTGTTGCTCATTCTGAACTCGTACTGTATAGTACCAAAAATGTTTTTTGCGTTTTTTGTTTTAAAAGCACTCTTCACACATAGTTATAGTATGATAAGCTTTGTAACGTTAAAAAACGACATTTTTGAAGCAAAAAGGTCATCATTTTGCAATAGAACCAATGATAATGAGATTTGCCTAAAATATCGACAAAACAATGAAAATGGACTTTTCCGGGAATTTTTAAACTTGATTTAAAGTACCAAAAAGTAATTTTGAGATTTCTGTTTTCCACTTGATTGTGTTTGTGCTAGGAAAGTAATTGAGATGTAAATGTAATTCCATTTCGCGGTAAATAAGAAAGAGGCCAGGTGAGATGAAATTAATCGAAAATGCCCGATAATGGATGCCTAGGGCTAATTTTTAAAAGAAAGAACGTCATTCTATTTTGAAGACATCAAGGAGAGCAAATTTAGGAAGATTCCTGGACTTGGTGCTATTTAGTACGTGTAGTGCTATATAGCACCAAAGCTAAAAAATGTAAAAATCTTGATCAAATAGGGGTTGAAATGCGTTTTACAAATTTTTTATTTAAAGTTTTAGCTTAAAAATGGTTTTTAAGCGACACAAAAATTCAAACTTTGATTTTGCCGCCAAATTCGGAAAGTCTTGGCATTGTGTTTTAACATGGTTATTTGATAGCAGATTTGAGCTAAGTCACAGGTGCGGGTGTAAAATACGTACTGAGTGATTTGCAACTCGTTTGACTTTAAAATTTAAATATTAATTTTTTTCGCCAAATTTAAAAATTCTTAGCAATGTGTTTCAACCTCATGTGTTAGAATTACAATTCGCGTACCTGGTGAGATGTACTGTTGGCTTCCGGTCTCAGCCACTGGGCTAGCTTTCGAGTCTTTGTCTGATCGCAAAAACGCCGCCGCATCCACGTAGTACACCAGCTGAACGGCCAACGTGCAGCAGAGCATCAACAAAGTTTGCGAGTTCATATTTATTTTGTGTTAAGAGAAAAAGGGGGGCACGGGGACGGCCGGTGAACCAAGTGTTACCTGAAATTTTATTTTTAAATTTTCGAAATAAAAAAAATGTAAAATACGAGCACCTATCTTCACTGCGCGGAAATGCCATACTAAGTCAGTATCACGCAAAAAAGGTAAAATCACCTTTAAAAATTAGCATAAAACGATTTTTTTAAGTTTTGCACCGTGCAAGGCAATTTATTGCACGGTGCAAAAACTTTAAGGTGCGATAACTTAAAAATGGTTTTTTAAAATTAAAATTTTTAAAATGGGTACAAAACTACGTTTTAATGGCTATCATTTACAGCAAAAACTAAAATTAAGTTTTGATTTCAAAAAATAAAAAAAAATTAAAATAAAAAATCTGCACTGTGCATAATTTTTCATTGCCCTGTGTAAGGCCCAAAAAATATTAAAAACTCTTTTTTATAAAATAGTGCAATGAAAAATTCAAAAAGTCAAATACCAAACCAATTCTCATCGTCCCCAAAGTTCAAAAACACCAACAAACAGCGATATAATTCGATAAAAATAAAATTTCAATCATATTTCCCCGGAGGCAACAAATTATAAAATAAAAAATTAAATAAAATCTGTCTCAGTTTCATTTTTCATTTTTTGTCTAAATTTTGTTTTAGAAAATTCGAAAATTGGTCTAAAATAGTCTAAAAATTTCCGCATTTTACCCAATTTTTACAGAGTTTTGAACCCGAATGCCTTTAGGGCATTTTACAGATTTTAAAGACGTTCGGACTTAAGTTTGAGTCTACTTTGCTCATAGCAGCGACGTATTTTACCTAAAAATGAAATTGTGAGCAAATTTTTATTGATAGTACTATATAGTACGAATGGTACATCACCTTTTTGTGTACTAAACTGCTTTTTATACTCACTATTTACAGTTTTTGCTATTGGTACTATTTAGCACGAATAGTGCAACATAGTACGAATGGTACTATATAGTACTAAAAGTGTTTTGAAGTTAAAAACGACTTTTAACGTATTATATTGCGTTGTATAATCAGTATTTACAGTATTTTTTCTACTAGTACTATATAGCACGAGTATTACTGTATAGTACCAAGCAGTGTGTAAGAAGCGAAATTCACTTATAAACCACTATTTACAGTTCTATATACATAATTATTAGACATCTAACATCTATGGTATTATTTTGTATTAATAGTACTATATAGTACCAACAGTACTGTATAGCACCAAAAAATAAGCAAATCCAAAGGTTCAAAACTGAGCATTTTCGTACTTGACAAACCTCAAAAAACCAGTACGACGGAAGTTTTTTCGAGCATTTATTACGAAAATTTTGACTTTGACACCCCTCGTTCCAAAATTAATGGAATAAAGGACTACAAATTCGCGGTCCTAAATAGTGTAGGAGGCCCATGGTGGACAAACATAAATAAGCCAAATAATGATGTCAAAACACAAATCGTCGTCACAAGGATGTTTTTGTACTAATGTCTCAAAACTTTATTACGATTTCAAAAATGGCAAGAACTTTTTTTACAACACAAAATATGACAAGAACTTTCTTTACAAAACAAAAAATGGTAAGAACTTTCTTTACACGCTCAAAAATGACAAGAATCTCCTTCACAGTAGCTAAAATGGCCTCTTTTAAAAAGTGAAAGTTGGGCGGAAGATTTGTAATGCATTTTGCACTAAAAATCTTCCACTCAACTTCCATTTTTTAAATGTCTTAAAATGGCCTAAAAACACGTTTTTAACAATTTTTAAAAGTGCAAATTCGGTGGAAGATTTGTAATGTAATTTGCACTGAAAATCTTCCACTTATCTTCCACTTTTAAAATTTACAAAATTACAGTAATCGATATAAATAATAATTACAAATCCAAAAACTTTATTTACAACCCCTCCCCCACCCGCATTATTGTTCCTTGTGAATTAGAGCTGGCACAATGAGAAATACGTAGACAAAGCCCTTAATTAAGTATTTATTTATTAAATTGCCCTATTTTTCAATAATTATATGACATGTAATTGCCATAAAATTGGTCTAGTGATCATTGAGAATTGTAGAAAATTTAATATACTTCAAAGAATGGCATCATTTTAAAGTTTTGAAGAATTTAAATGGGTTTGCACAGTGCAAGACAATTTTTTGCACGGTGCAAAAACTTTGAAATGTCATAACTTAAAAATAGTTATTTCAAAATGAAAATTTTTAAAATCATAAGAAACTACAGCTAATTTTCTATCATGTACGGTAAAAGATCAACACTTTTTGTTAATTCAAAAATTTAAAAATTAAAAAAGAAAAATCTGCACCGTGCAGAATTTTTCATTGCACCGTGCAAGGCTTAAAATACGACTTTCAAAATTAAAAAATAGTCTTCCTGTAAAAAATAAATTTATTCTAACCTATATGAAGTAAGAATGTCAATATTATTATTATCTTTAGTCATTGCACAGCGCAATGACCAAAAATTGCACGGTGCAAAAATTTCAATACGCCATAACTTAAAAACGGCTTTTTGAAAATTAAAATTTTAAAATAAATATTAAACAGCTTTTAAAATACTACTATTAGTTACAAAAAGCAATGTCATCTTTTCATTTCAAAAATTAAAAAATCAAATTCAAAAATTTTGCACTGTGCAAAAAATTCCCATTGCACCGTGCGAACCCCTACAACCTGCACGGTGCAGTGCCAAAAACACACTTTACTTAAATTGTAAATTCAATTCGAAGTAACAAAAATTGAACACTAATAAAAAGTTGTTTGGCAGCGTTAAAAACCGTTTCGACTATAATTGCGGTCGGAACGAAATTCGAAAAAAGTGGGCGTGGCTTCCGTGGAGTTTGTTTTTGGCCAAAAAGTCGAGGATTGGCCGCCCATTGGCATTTTTTTGCCCAGAACAATGGATTCTGGTCCTAGTCGAGCCTTGTATTTAACTGTCATCACTTTCCCTGCTCCTCTCTCGCTTCCGAGTGCTATTTTGGACGGAAATTTGAGCATGACGTTCAAACGAAGCAAATGATGACATTAAAAATACGAATTTTAAACATGACATAATAGCAGTGTTGGGTGTTATGTGGTGCTGGTTCCAGGAGCATTTGCATAAATGTTTGGAGGTAATGACACGTTGGGGGTTTACCGTTAGAATAAGGTCCCAGGTGAGGTATTAGTCAGATTTAAATGGCTGTAAAACAAAAGCTAGAGTAAGTTGGACTACGAAAATTGGAGAAGATGTTCTAGAAGGTATGCAAAATGAGATACTATAAAAAAGTTTTAAGATTTTATTTGAATGTTACCTAAAATGACACAATTTTCAAAGATCATCGAAATCGGCACCCGGAAAGAAAAAATAGATGTAAAATCATTATTTGAGGACGTATAAAGATGAAAATTGGTACTAAGGTATTACTTAGTATATAGAATCCCTTACTACCACAAAAGTCTAAAAATGTTACTTGAATTTCACTTAAAATGGCGCAATTTTCAATTGTCATCAAAATCGACTACCGTAATGAAAACATTCATGTAATATAGCAATCTGAGCATGCATAAAGAAAAAAATTGATGTTAAGGTACTACATAGTACTTAGAATCTCATTCTACCACAAAAGTTTAAAAATGCTACCTAAGTTTGTATAAAACGGCAAATTTCCTAAGGTCCTCAAGATCAGCACAAGCTAAGAAAAAGTCTTTGTAAAATCAAAATTTAAGCACATACAAAGATGAAAATCAGTAATATGGTACTAAATAGTACCTAGAATCCCTCACTATCAAAAAAATTGCAAAATGTTACCTAAATTGCGTAAAATAGCAACTCGTATTAGTGTCATCAAAATCAGCTCCTTGGATGAAAAAATTGATGCATAAACTAAATTAGAGCACGTATGAAACATAAAAAATGGCATTGATATACTATTTAGTACTTGAAATACCACACTAATAAAAAATTTTTAAAATGTTAACTAAATTTATATAAAATGGCACAATTTACAAATATTGTGTGAAAATATACTTATCATGCCAAAACTTGTTGTATCTTTTTAATTAAACTAAAGTTTTTGACAAAATTTGTTGTCAAGACGTACGATACCTTGACAATGCTGATCTATAATTTTTTTTTTCAAAATGTATGTCAATTTTTTTTATTTTGGGTTTTTTTGTCAATCAAACTTTTTTTTTCAAAAAAATTTTTTGTTGCCAAAAAATCTGTCATAACTTTAAAATTTGATAAAATCGACCCCAAACACAACTTTTCATAGATGTGCCATTCTATATTCGTCCAATTTTTTCATGTTTCGCCCATTTTTCATAAACAATTTGTCAATTTTGGTCGGTTTTTTCTTTGCAACTTCCCACTTTTGGCCTTTTTATCTTTGACTTTAATGTCTTGTTTCTTATTAATGCGTCTCCCCCACCCGCAAAGTCTATGAATTTTAATCCCAAGAAACCCCAAAACGTAATAAGGACATAAACCATGGTAGAATGTCATATTACACGGTCATATACGATCATATAACAGAGTAATAAAGTAATAACAGCTTTAGGCGACTAACCAAAGATCATGATATTGAAAAAAGTATTCAATGTAACAATATAATGACAATTCTCAACATAATAATACAAATATATTAACAAAAGATTACTTCCTGATGCTGTCTCTTCAGAAATGGTTTTAGATCTCTAGGAATAATGACAAAATGGCATTTTTAAACGATTTTTTTTCATTGCACTGTGCAAGATTTAAGTATAGTCGTAAAAACGTCATTTTAGCAGACATAGCTCTAAAATTTATTACAGTCATACTACCTTCCAAGGTTAATAAAAACACAAAAAAAAAACATATTTCTGTTCTAGTCCAGTCCAATCAATTCTTATGATCAATCAAACTTTTGAAAACTGACTGCACTGTGTAATGAATAAAACGATTTTTATCATACCGGTATGCCTT